TATACGAAACTTTTTTTTTAAGAAAAAATATTATCATTATCGTTTATTTATTTTTTTCCATGCGGAGGCGGCAGTGGCGGGGAAGATGAGGGAGGGAGAAAGGGGGGAAAGAGGGTGAGGAGAATTATCATACTGCACCAAGAGTTGAATGACTTAGCCGTGAGAATTTTTTTCTTTTTGTGGAAACGCTGGGAAAAAATAAAATATTATGTTTTAATTGAAATGAGAGATGTGTGGGGAGTCACGGATGAAAAAAGAAAATTCTAAGGGGGGGAGGAGGGTGAATAAGAAAAAATTAAGATGCTGGAAGAAGATGATGAGAAAAATGATGGAGATCAAAAAAAGAAAACGAAAAAAAAGGTGAAAAAAAAAATCTTATCACTATCATCATCATCATTATTATCATCATCATCAGCATCATCATCATCATCATTATTATTATTATTATTATTATTATTATTATTATTATTATTTAAAAGTCAATTAGTAATTTTTTTTTTTTAATTAAATTAATAAATTTTTCTTTTTTTTGTAAGCTTTTTTACTGTCCGTCGAAAATACAAAAAAGCTCTTTCCCCCTCTCCTTTCCGCCCACTTCTCAAAAACTCCATCTATCGGGGAAAAATAAAATTACGCGCGTTTTTTATTTGTTCATCAATTAAGGTTAAGAAAAGGTTTTCAAATTTGATAGTTTCAATGTGGAAAGTAAAAGAAAAAAGAAAAAAGGTTTAAATTACTTCTTCAATTAGCGTCTCCGTGTTAATTAAATAATAATAATAATAATAAATATTATGTTACCCTTTTAAAAGTAAAAAAAAAACCGTTTTTTTTTTTAAACGGGTTTTCCTCTTTGTTCAATACGTATAAGTCGAAGTTTAAATCACGTGACAAATGTAATCCAGTTATATTTATAAAATTCGTCTTCTGCTCGTAATACATTCACGCGAAAAATAATTGAGTTGATGATGACGTAATTAAATCGAAACCAAGATTTTCGACCTAAGTTTTTCCTCGTATTCTCTGTCTCTCTCACTCTTGTTTGTCGGTTGTCGTTGTTGTCGCGTTTGTTGTATTTTCGTCTGCGATTTTATCGAATTTATATTTATTAATGGATTTATTCGAAGCGTAACGTTTTTTTTTGGTTTGTCGATTTTATGACGTCATCGGGGTTTTGTTTTTTTTTCGCGCGTGAATTTAATTTTTTAAAATTTCGCGTTTCCGTTTTCGGATTTTTTTTTAACCATTTCCGTTTCGATTAGGTAATTAATTTTTTTTTTTAGAATTAATTTAAAATTATAAAATTTTGAAATCGGACGATAAAGACGAAGAAAAGATGAAGAAAATTTCTTGGAAAAAAAAAAAAATTTGTAATCTTAATATCATCATCATCATCAAATTTAAAAACTTTGCTTTCTTTTCATCTTTCGACCCCCATCCCTTCCTTCCCTACCTCCCCGCAAAATAAAAATTTTATTTTTATTTTAAAGGAAAAGAAAAGTAATTAAATTTTTTTAGTAATAAAAAAAAGAAAAAAAAAATTCGAAAATCATCATTTTTTTCATTTTCAAAATGGCGGACTCATTTTCTTTTTTCTTATTTTTGATTTTACGCACAAAAGAAAAGGAAAATCAAAACGGATTTTTTTTTTTAAAGTAAAAAAGTTGTTTAAAAAAAGTTTAAGATTATTATCATTCGGTCGGATTATGATTTCAGGAATAGAAATCCTGGATATTCCAGTAAAATATTCTGGATAATATTTTCATCCCCTTATTAATAATCGTTTATTATTTCCAATTGAAATTATTTTTATCATTTATTTATTTGGGGGGGAGGAGGGCGATGGGGAGGAGAAGGGGGAAGTCGGGGGAGGTACGATAAAAATTTTCTTATATAAATAATAATAATAATAATTTTTTGTTTTTTCCAGGTGCGACAAATTCGTGTGCGTGTCAGTGCGTGCGTGTGTTCGCGTTTTCTTAAATTTAAATAAAAAAAAAAATTGTGCGAATTATTAATAATAATAATAATAATGATAATGTTGTGTTGGTTAAAAATTAATACGGTGAATAATAATAATAATAATGATGATGTGATGATGTACGTACGGTTACGAATTTTTTGACGTGGGAATAAGAAAGAATGATTTTCAAATGTTGGATAGCTTGGTTCACCTTATTTATAATCATTTCCGGATTTTGTTTGTGTTTACCTCCTGTTATCAAAATCGGTAAGTTTTATTATCATTATTATTATTATTATTAAATTTGTTTTGTTTTGTTGAAATTGTTGTTGTTGTTGTTTTAATTCCAGTAAAAAATTCTCGTTGGAGTTTTTTTTTTTGGAAATCGTAACGAAATCGATAAATTATATTTTGACACCATTTTTCTTTTCCCTTTCCCTTTCCCCTCCCCCTCCTTCTTCCCTTCCCTCCCTACCATCTCCCCGCCATATTGTTTTTGTTTGTTTTTGTTTTTTCGCATTCTCGATTTCGGTTTCTTTTCTCTCTTTTTCTTCCGATTTTAAATAATAAACTTTTTTTTTCATTTTTGGCTTCTGGCGCTTTCCCCCCATTTTTTTTCTCCTCTTTCTTTTTCCCCCCTCCCTCTTGTTTTTTTTTGTTAATGCGTCAACTATATTGCCAATAATAATTTTTTGTATAACACATACAAATATATACATTTTTCTTTTTTTTCCCCCCCTTCATTGAGTTTATGCCAAATTTTTTTTTCTTTTGCATTGTATTCCGCATCATTTACATTTAAAATATTTTTTTTTTATCTTATCATCCCTCCCCTCCTTCCCCACCCCCGCCCCTTCTCTCCCCAATTCTCTCCGTAGGAAACTTCGGTTTATTTTCTTTTTTTTTTTTTTTTCTCGAAAAAATTGTTGTTTAAAATTTTTTTTTTTTTCGGTTACATCCGATTTATCGATTTCCGGTTTATCGTTAAAAAATTTCTTTTTTTTATTTTTATTAGAATCGATCTGGGAGTCGAAGGGGGGTAGATGGCGAGGGAGAAGAGAGGAGGTATGAATGAATTTTTTTTTTTTTTCGTTAATTTGACTTTTCCATCGTACGTAGGGGGGTGGCGGAGGAAAAGTTAAAATGGTCAAAAAGGAAAAAAATTGAAAAATAAATAAAAAAAAAGTAGATAATTCAGTTAATAACGAGAAAATATATAAAAAGAGCCTTCAAAAGCAAAAAAGAAAAAGAAAAGAAAAGAAAAGAAAAAGAAAAAGAAAAAATTTTCTTTTTTTCTTTTATTTTTTTTCTTCTCCAGAAAAGGAAAAGAAAAGAGAGAAAAATTTGTAAATGGAAATTTTCCAGTTTTTTTTAATGATAAAATAAAAAAAATCTGGTGTTTGTTTGCTTGTTTGTTTGTTTTTAGGTCAAATTTTTATATGAAATATTAATTATTTATACTGGTGATACGCATACATTAAATAAAATATAACGATAATGGTTTTATATATATACGTACATAAAAAATTATGTACGTATAAATAAAAGTCGAAAAAATTTTTCTGTAGTTTGTTTATTGAGGGGGGGGGGAAGGGTGAGAAACGTGGGGAAAAATAAGAATAAAAAAAAAATGGAAATGTATGAAACGTGAAAGAAACGAGTTTAAAAATAAAAATTGAAAAGAGTGAGAGAGAGAGAGAGATGGAAGAAAAATGAATGAGCTTAAGAAAATCGTAAATTTTTTTTTTTCTTATGTTTACAATCTGACAATTTTCTTTTTTTATGTTTGTTTGCGGTTGTTTGTTTTAAACACACACACACACGCACAAACACGGTCGTAAAGAGAAAGAGGGAGAGAGAGAGTGGGAAAAATAAGATAGAAAGAGAAGAGAAAAATAAAAAGAAAAAAAGGAAAAGGAAAAGAAAGAAAGAAAGGAAAAGAAAGAGAAAAACGACAAAAATAGAAGAAAGAGAGAGAAGATATAAACAAAAAGAAAAAAAAAAAAGAAACAGAGAGAGAAAAATAAAAAGTAAGAGAGAGGGAGAGAAAAATTGAAAGAAAAGGAGAGAGAAAAGAAAAAAAAGAATAAGAGACGAGAAAGAGAGAGAGATAGAGAATGTGGGTAAAGAGAGAGGAAGAGGGGGAAAAAGAAAAAAAAAAAAAAAAGAAAGGCAAAAAGAAAGACAGGGAGAGGAAAAAGTAAAAAGAAAAAGGGAAAGGAAAGGAGAAAAACAAGTTTATTTCAAATAATTTTTTTTTTTATTTTTTAAATTTCTTACAATTCTGACGTTTATACGACGATGACGACTGTCGTGGAATTAGAAAAACAAAACAAAAAATTTAAAAAAGGTGAAGTGATAGAACGTTTTTAAAATTGCAAAAATCCTTTTTTACAAATTAATCTAAACGTAGTGCTAAGATTTACATAACAACACTTAAGTTACTATTGCAAAATGAGAAAACGTGGCAGAAGACAAGAACCAAAAGGTAAATACCAAAAAAAAATTAAATTCTCATTACGTCATTTTTAAATTTAACGAATATTATTTATTTATTTATTTTTTCAAATTAATTTATTAAAAAAAATTTCATTCCGGTTCCTGTCACCGCCTTTTCGTGTACCCCCCTTTCAATCCCCCCCTCCTTCCCATTTCCTCCCTCCCCACGTCCCGGAATAAAAATAAAATAAAATAATTTAACGGAAATTATTTAATGCTTTTGCTGTCGTGAAATGGAAATCCTAAAAAAAAGTTGATAATAATAATAATAATAATAATTAAAAAAAGAAAAAAAAATGGCGACAGGAGGAGATATCACGAATTGGTTGTGTATTTGGGGGGGGGGGCACTGTTGTCTCGGAATGGTACGACAGGAATTAAAATCAAAAAATTTTTCCAGTCGAACGGAAGTAGGATAAAAAAAAAAATTATTTTTGTGTTTTTATCGTCTGCTACCGTAAAAGAAATCGTCGCGAGTTTTTCATGTCTTCCGTTTGTGTCTTCCGTCCGTTTGTCGGTGTTAATAATAATAATAATAATTAGGCGGGGTTTACCGGTTGATCTGATTGTTTATTGAAATGTGTCAAATAATTAAAAAACATTTCGGCGATGAGATCAGCCAGTCGAACTCAGTCGCAGCATCTTCCTGGAAAATTTTTTTACAATTTTATCCAGAATAAAAAAAAATGGGATTTTTTTTCCTGGATAAAATACTACGTGCTGGAAAATTTTTTTTTTGTTTCACGGTTAATAAATAAATCGAAGAAGAAAATATCGCTTGAGGCTTTAAAATTTTTATAATTTTTTTTTTAATTATTATTAACTTATCGGGATAAGTCAAAGAGGGGGTGTGGGGGGAATAAGGGAAACTGCCTTTTTAAAAATTTTCTGGATAAAATTATCCATGGATAAAATAAAAACGATTCGCTCATTTAACAATTAATTTTTTTAAACTAAAAATTAGTTTTGGTTAAAATAAAATATCTAAAAGTTATTCTCCAGTTACTTTCCAGAATTTTTTTTTTTTTAAATTAAATTTTTTTAGTAAAAATAAAGTTAATGGAAAAATTGTCGTTAAAACATTTTTTTTTTATATCAACCGGAAATTTAAAAAAAACAGTGTTGCCAACATTGATTGAAAACTATTTTTGAAGACCCCGTAAAAAATGATTTCGGATAAATGTCGGATTTTTCCTAAATCGTTCCAGTATTATAAGAAAAAAATTTAAATGGTGGATGAGGAGTAGAAGGAGGAATAATAATAATAAAATTTAAAGGGAGGGGGGAAGAGAGAGTTCACATATGAAATTTTCCAAAAAAACTTTTTAGTTAAATCTTTCTTTCGAGTAATCCAAAATTTTCCCTTCAGGTATTTTCTGTTCGTCGGTTAAATCGCGTTATTTATTACTTCAAATATCTTTGCCGTGAGTTTTTGTGACGTCATTTACGTATCAAACTGTGGATGTATAAATATGGATGGATAATTATAATGGAAATTAAATTAAAAATTTCAGGTACGTGTTTGTGCGCGAGTGTGTGTGTGTGTGTGTGAAAACGTTTCCGGTTTTTGACAATTGATTATTTTAATTTTTTTTTCCCCCAAAAAAAAAAAAATTTTTTTAATGTTTAAAAATTAATATTATTGTAGCAAGAAAGTTAAATGAAAGAATTAAAAAAAGAGAGATGATAAAGAAAGGATTCCGGGTAGGAGAGAGAAATAGAAAGAGAGAGAAAGTGAAAGAAATAAACAGAAAGACAGAGAGAGAAGTTGATAGAAACGTAGTGAGAGAGAGAAAGACAGAGAGAAAGAAAAACACAGAGAGAAAAAGAAAGATAGGTAGAGATGGAGAGAGAGGAAAAGAAAGGCAGAGAAAAATAGAGAGAAAATAAAAAAAATGATAGGTAGAGAGAAAAAGAGAGAGAAAAGAAAAAGAAAGATAGGTAGAAAGGCAGAAAGTGAGAGAAAGAGAGAGGAAGAATGAGAGGAAGAGAAAAAGAAAGAGTAAAAACTGGAAAAGTAAAAAAAAAATTTGAGTAAAAATTCTATGGGGAAACTTTAAATAAGAATCATAATAAAAGTTTTTTTTTGGGGGCGAGGGAGGGGGTGGGAGAAAATTTAAGTTTTTTTTGTTTAATGAAAATTTTCCTTTGATTGCATGACCGACATATTTTTAATTCTGTTGCAACATGATAATTTTAAACTTTTTAAAATTTTAATTTAACAAAAGAAATTTTTTAAAATATATAGTTTTTCGCAAAAGAAAAAAAAAAAAAAAGGAAGGAAGAGAAAGAACGAAAACGTAAAAAAAAAGTCGAGAGAGAGAGAGAAAGAAAGAGAAGAGAAGAAAAAAAAAATTTTTTTTTTTTTTTTATTAGGTCCCCGGGATAATTCATGAATGAAAATTTAAATTAGAAAACCTTTAGAATTTTAAATTATATATAATAAAATTTCCTTAGGGCCAACCAATCAGATGTCGAATTAAAAAAAACAAACGATAATCGATTTTTAACGGAAAGTCATAGAGCGTAAAAAAGAAAAAAATTAGTCTCTTTGACACACTACGAATTATTTTTATTATACATTGGGAAAATTATTTATTTATATTTTTTTTTACCGCGGGAGGGGGAAAGAGAGGAGGAATAAAGAAAAGTGGAATGAGGGGTAAATCAAAAATTTTTATTTAAAGAAAAGGGGGATGAGGAAGCGAAGGGGGAGGAGCGAGGGAGTAGTGTAGTGGGCGGGGCTTATAAAACAAAAGACAAACGGAAAAATCTTTTCTTTATGAATAAACATTTAACGGTTTCGTTAACTTATTAAAAAAAAAACCTTTTCGTCAGAGAGAGAAAGGTGGTGTAATTTTACCCGATAAAAGGAAAAAAATAAAAGGAAAATTTATTCATTTCTTTTTCTTCTTTTTTTCCTTCCCCCCCCCCATCTCCCAAATTTTTTTTTTTTTTGGGGAAACAATTTAAAGAGTTTAATCATTAAAAAGTTTCACAATAGAAATTCTATAAAAACCAAAATTAATGCTTTTGTCCTTTTCCTTTTTTTTTTTTTTTTCCTTTGAAAAACGTCACATTCACGTCAGAAAATTTATTGAGAAAATAATTTTGATTGGAATTTTTTTCCTTTTTTTTTTACCTTTTTCTACGTGAGAATCGAGAAACGAAATTCGAAATAATAATAATTTAAAAAAAAAAAAAAAAAATTTTGTCAAAGGTAATTTTACATTTCCTTTTACAAAACGTATAAAAATAATTCATAACAATAGTAATAAAAACAATCATTTATATTATTATTATTATTTTCAATTGGTGACGTAATAAGTAATTTGTTACCTAATAATTGATTATAATAAAAAAGGTTAAGAGGATGCATTTCCGTTTGTATAAAACAATTTTCCGGTGGTGGTTTTGTTTTATTCCTGTTTTTTTTTTAGGTTTTTCCTTTATTTTATTTGTAAATATTTTTCCTTTTTTGGTTTTTAAATAAGGTTCGAAAAAGGTTGTTATTATTATTATTATTTTAAGAAAATTATACAGTTTAAACTTTTGTACGTTACGTTTTAAGTATTTCCGGTTTTCTTTTTCTAATCCTTTTCGAAAGGATATTGTTGTTTGTTATTAAGGATAGTCTGTTTCTCTTTTCATTTTTTTTTTAGTTCCGTTTCCTGTTAACATTTATAACATCATCATTTCGTTCGAATTTGTCGTCGCTAATAATTTTTTTATTTTTGGCGGGAAATTTAAAATTTTAAAAAATTATTCTGTTTAGCGTACGATAAAATATTAAATGGAATATAAACCAGTGTTCGTTCCAGGAGTTTCGGAAAATTTTTTTTTTGTTAATCTTAAAAAAAAAATTCCTCACGTTTTTCCAGGTTTATTAGATTTCATGCCGACAACGTAAAAAAAAAAAAAATTCTAAATTTCTTTATTTATCGTAAAAAAAAAAAAATTGTTTTTCTCAACTTCCTGTTTGAAATTTTTTTTCATTTCGATTTATTATCGAGTATCAAAAAAAAAAAAAAAATTTTTTTGATTTTCAATCAAGTGTTGCCAACCCGCTTCCACCCTTCCATTCTCTTAATATTCTTCCAATTTGCCGTACCTTAAATAAAAACGAAAAAAAAAAAAATTTTTTTTTTTTTTTTCGTTGCCTACGTCATAAAACTTGATTCAAGTGATATTCGAGCTTTTGATTCTCTTTTTTCTTTTGCTGTTGCTGTTGTTGTTGTTTTTGTTTTTGAAAAAGTTTTTTTTTCTCTTTAAAAAAAAAGTAAAAAAAAAAATTTCGACAAGTTTTTTATTTTTTTCCTTTGTCTCTCATTTTTTTTTTTTTTTTTGAGTTGTTGAAGTTGTTTTTTTTCTCTCTTTCTCTTCGTCTTCTGCTATTTTTTTTTTTTTTTTAATGAGAAATTGTAAAAAAAATATTTTTTTATTTGAAGGAAAAAAAGATTTAATAGATAATTAATAATTTTTCTTGTTTGTTTGTTTTGTTTGTTTTTCCGTTTCTGTTGCTGTTGCTGTCGTTATTTTTATTTATTTTATCAGGCTATTTAAAAAAAAAAATTTTTTTTGTTCGTGAGAATTCGGGCATTCGGGTTTTCTTTTTTTGTGATGGAATTAAAAATACAAATTGACTTTTTTATTTGTCAAATTTAAATTTTAAATTTTTTTTTTTTTTTTTATTTCTCCAGCCGGGAAATTTTTTTTTCTCCAGAATGAATGAATTTTCTTTTTGAAAAAAAAATTTATTTCTTTAGAAATTAAATTAAAATTTATCGAATAAAAAAAAATAAAAAAATAAATGTTTTTGATCGATCGTTTCTTTTTTTTTTGTTTTTAATGGAAAAACTGGAAAAAAATTCCAGAATGAAAAGAAAATAATAATAATGATGATGATTGTTGATAATTTCAATTGAAATTCGTCATCACGATTGTTTTAAAAGAAAAAAAAAATTTTTTTTTTTTATATATAATTTATTCTATTGACTTTTTGGAGAAATAAAAAAAAATGAGGATTTTGGAAAAAAAATTGACTGGAAATTTTATGGCGGCTGGAATTTTTATATATATATTAAATTAAAAACGATTTGAAATATTTTCTTGGATTTTTCATCACATCATTGATGCCATTTCTTCGATTTTCGCGGAGAATTAATTTTTTTTTCTTTATTTTTTCTCTCCTGGAATTTTTCCATTCATTGTTTTGACCTTTTTCCCATCACCTTCTTCCTTCCTTTCCCCCCTTTCCCCTCGTTGAATTTATTTCCGACGTATTTATTATTTTTTGTACGTTTAAATTTTTTTTTTTTTCCGATGATGGAATTAAAAAAATTTTTTTTTTTATATGTTTTTTTCTCCAGTAAATTACGTAAACAAAAAAAAAAAAAGTTTCTCCAGGTTAAATGGGAAACGAATTACAATAAATATCATTTCCAAAAAAAAAACGGAAACGTTTGTCGTGTCCATTTGCCCCCCCTAAATTTCTTTTCCGCTAATAGTAATCCGTAATCATTCCTTTTTCTTTTCCAGTTAGTAGGGGGGCGAAGGAAGGGAGAAAAAAAAGAAGTCAGGAATTTTTTTTTTCTTCATTCAATGTTTAAAAGTAATCAGGTAGCAGAAGGAAAACAA